TTCCAATGCTGAACCAACACTGCCATCCCTATAACAAAACCACTTTCTACATACTGCCAGATCTGACTTCTAATAGTTCGTTTTGTTAAACAAATTTCTATCTATGTTCATACTTTTCTCTTCTATTATCTTTATCCAGTTTTAGGATTAGCACAATGTGGATTTCCTAAAATGAGGGGAGAAGTGTTCCTTCTTTTTTTGCTTTAATTGTTTGATATAATTTATCAGTTAAAATGTATATGAGCCTGGTGTTGTCATATAGGTAGGTTTTCAAGCTAGGATTATACTTTCTTTAATAGGTGCTACTCAAATTTTATATTTCCTCCAGAGTCAGTTTCATTAATTTGTCTTCCAAGGTACTTCGTATAGATTGTCAAATTTTATTTCAAAAAAGATTTTTGTAATATGCTTTCTATATCCCTTTAAATTCTGTAAAATCTCTGGTAATGTCTTCTAGATCTTGATATTGTAATTTAAAAATGTATAATTGATATTGTGTAATAGGAAGAAAAGGTCTAAAGGAGCAGTAGAACTGTGAGTGGTAGGGGAAAGGAAAGAAGGGAAAAGAAAAAATATGAGAAAAGGAAAAAAATGGGAACAAAATCTTTACAAATAGGGAAGGGTGGAGGGGTTGAAGGGAGGCCAGGGGAAGGGGTAAAAAATAAGAAACCAAGATACTCATGTAATGGTACAAGATCCCAATGATGAATGGTACTGTATTTTATACCTAAAATGTACCAATAAGCTTAATGGGGAAAAAAAGTGTTGGAGCATAGGGAAAATATGTCTATAAGAGGAAAATTCTACTATCAAGATAATTACCGATGTGATAATTTTCCCTACATCAAATATGAACATTAGCATATTATTATAAATTATTTCTTACAATATTTAGTACAAACTGGGCCTTTCTTAAGGTTCTGGATTTCTGTAAAAAATAATCACCACTGATCTCGTCTTTAGGTGTTTGCAATCACACAGGACACACAGTCTTTACCTAACCTGTGTACCGGTCAGACTGAAGGCTCCCTGGTGCTGTTATTTGTTATGATAGGAAGCCTAATACAATCTACTTTTATATTAGTCCTTTTTACTATGAATAATTCAATTTACTAAGCATGTTTAGTTAACCTCAATCCCCCAAATAAGCCTCCTACTTAAGGTCATATTGTGTCCCCTGAAAGCCAAATTTCCTACAACATTTCCAATGATTCAGGTCAAGCCTTTGAGAAAGAAAATGCATTTTGTGTTTGGCAATTCGTTCAGCAAGCAGAGAAGCTAAAAATACCAACAAACCTTTCACTGAAAGTATCTGAATGGGTTCTCAGGATGTACCTGAGATTAAGTCTTCACTTTTGGTACAGAAATTACTATTTATTTCTCCTCACTCTCCTTTATAAAACTAAAGAGCATTAAAAGATGTTGTTTTAATTTCTAAAGTATATTCATCATCACTGAATATATATGATCACTCACCTGCCCATAATTCACCCAGCTTCTCACAAAAAGCCCAGTTCTTCAAAGGATTTCCTCTTATTTCTTGTCATACTCAATATAACAAATCCACATTTACCAATTAAGGCAACGTACTAACCTTTTGTTATAAATTACAATGTAGACTCAAAATCTGAAGATAAATATTTGTGCTAGTTTCTAAAAATTTTATTAATTCCTCTCCTGTGACTCGCAGTCTGGTCTATGCTGAACATTTGTACTGTTGTGTCAGAAATGTTTCTGGGCTCACGTGACCTCCAGCTCCAGGTTCTCACCTGTTCCCTCTGCCACTCTTACCTGGTGAGGCTGCAGGTACAGCCAGCCCAGCCTGAATTCCAGGTAAAGGTGACTGGGATCATTTTGGAGTCATCCAAGGGGAACATCTTTTTTCATTATAGAGATAGCATGCTATGATCCTCGACAGTGAAGGCAACATTCACAAAAAATATTGTAGCTGGAACTCCCGATTTCTTCTGAGAATTATCGAGTCTCTATAACTTACCTGGGTAGTAGCGGGCCAGGCCAGTGGCACTGCCAAACACCTGCCACAGCAAGGTAGGGTCCTCCTCTCGGTTTTTCTTGAAAACTTCATCTAAGGCACTTGTCCAGTTGAGTTCATTCAACACTATTGTTGCTAATAAAAAGAAAAGAAATCCATTCATTCAAACTTATAATTGAAAGTCGAATCTTTGACTTTTATAAAATAATGTGACATATTCTCCTTGCTCTGTCTAAAAAAGCACGGTAAACTCAATGGTTATCAGAAAGTCTTAGATGTAGAATTGCTTTTTCAAACAAAACTTTCCCTGATGTTGACACCACTGACATTCTGCCTGGTGTAGCTGTGGGGGACAGTCCCCCAAGCATGGTGGAGTCTCTGTCCTCACGCAAATGTGACCAGCAAGAAGCCCTGCGAGGTAAGGCTCTGTCACTCAGGTCCCGAGGGCGGAATCAGGCACATCTCAGAACTGCCAACGCTGTGCTGAGACATCACACTGAAAGAGGGTCCGTATTGTCCCTCCTTGTCCTTAGGAGACTTTTTAAAATGTTTACTTTTTTAGAGACCCAGACCTGCCATTACTTTAAAAAAAAGTTATTAGTATATGTTTGCAGAACTAATGATTACATTTATTCTGGGGAACTGAAACTAATATAAATTGGTAGTTACCAGAATTAAAAAATATTTCTCATTAAGCATAGCTTATTAACAGTGCTTATCCAACAACCAAAATGCATAGAGTTTGATAAAGAAAAACATCATTCAGGGGCCTGACAATATGAGTGTTAGAAAACATGAACCAGTTGATACTCTGTCACCACCTTCCAGACAACAGTTTTGCTTTCCTGATTATTCAGTTAATAACACATAACGGTGATAAGGGTTAGGAGACTGATTTTTGTCCCTATTTATAACTCCTCACTGCTCCTGAATAGCTATTTTACACACGCCATTCATAATGATGAACGAGAAGCCCTTATACTGTGGAGGTGGTGGAAGTGCAAACCTGTGGTATGTAATCTATAACGAGGGCTGCTGTGACCACAGCCTACTAAATCCAACACATTAAAAGTTTCACTGATACAGAATGTAACTTTCCCTGTACTCAAAAAGATGGAATACATAGCTTCATGTCTCCTTTCTCCTTACGTGTAAAAATGGGTACCTGGGACCAGCACGTCAGCAGATTGGGCTGCTCCGAATTTGGGAAATTCAGATAAAACCCAAACAGTGTCAGAGAGTTAGAGTCAGGAGACACAGGTCTACCTTCTTATGTTCTTTACAGTGATCTCCGTTAATAAAGCAAGTGGATTCAACTGTGCTTAAATCGTGCACGCATGATCTTTTATATGTTCAAAAGGAAAAAGAGACTTTGTGGAGAAAGATGAGCAGCAGATGTATTTATATTTAAAAGTTTGTATCATTTACCAAGAAAGAAACAAAAACAAGGAGCTCACAAAGCTGTTCTGGGAGGAGCATCCTGATGCAGCTCCCATCACTGAAAGCTACGGAGATTATCATCTGTGAGGATGTGATTACCCTCAGAAAGCGCAGTTGTGTGTGTAAATATTCATGAGCTGGGCCATGCCCGCAGTGCCACTTTGGAACTGGAGAATTCATATTCAGGAGCACGATCCAATGAACGCTGAGGGGCAGTTATATGAAAATTTATATTCGCAGAGATAACCTGAACAGATACTCATCAGTCATGAATATTTATATTAATATACAAAACATCACAGAAAAGAGGGACATTGTATTTTTATTTAAACATTCATGACTTTTATACTAATAACCTTCTGAACAAATAATGACGTTTATTTGAGATCCATGTAGACTTCATTAATCCCCAATCTATTCTATCTCTTCAATTTCCTTGACTCTAACTCACATGAAACAACAACAGACAGCTAATTACTTTTAATAAACTTTTATTTGTTTTCAAAGATGCTAATTTTTTCTTAATTTTATTTGATAGCTCAACAATTAGTAGCAGGCACTGATGCACCGATTGTGAATTCTGCTATTGTGTACTTGGCAAAAAGGCAAGCTCTGAATCAAAGGCAAGCTCTGAATCACTCCTATCTTCAGGAAGATATATTATAAAATCTCCAGTTCATACATTTGAAAATTCTTTTTCAGATCAGCTATTGCTTAGGTAGATTTCAAATTGTTTTGAAATGTGTTCATCTATGAATGAGTAAAGTACATAATAAATATAAAGCTTCTTGAACTGATTTTAAAGTTTATACAAAGTGAAGGAAATTGTATTTTGTGATGATCACATCATCCAGGTTTATAGATGTGATGATACTTAGTGTGTAGCAGGGTGGAAGAATACAGACACTGCCCCTTCTCTGTGTATATTTAAAGGTAATGGTTTCTGGCTGCAGTCAGTATTCTATTAGTCACCATCTTTATACGGAGTCTCTGCCATGGAAGTGAAAACTAGCACAGGCTCTTTACAGGGGGGTGTCTGTCTACTGAGCCACACACAGCCCTTAGCCCAGCTACCCTAAGCGAAGAGATTCCAATTGCAAAGAATGTGGGCCTGCAGTCCCTACTCAGCAAACGGTAAGAGTGAGAATCATTCATTTAATTACACCATTCAAATCCCTTAAAAAACAAAATAAAGAAAGTAGGGTAAATTACTACACTTGGATTTTTTTCTCAAAACATACTGAAAGCAGCACAAAATGTTAAGAAAAAATATACAAAGCATAAAACAAAATAAGCAAGCAATGTGAGTGCTATTTCATATCCTTGGTTATTTAGCTATATTTTCCTGAGCCAGATTAGGAACTGTCTTTGACTAATACACATAGATTATTTTAGTAATCTGAATGAACAGACTTTTCTTACGTATAAAATTAAATAGCTCGTCCAGTTTTACTCGTGTGCCTGGCATTTCTCCATCTAGGTGCTCCGAACATAGTCAAGGTAAAAATTGCTGAAATAACTCATACAGTGCTGAGATGTCATAAACTAAGTACAATTCGGGCCATGCCAGCAAGGTTCTCCCTTCCTGCTGTGAACCCTAAGCTGGCCACTTTCACTGTATTTAAATACACACAATGTACCAGAATCTCTAAATTTGTAAGCAGAGCTTATTTACAAAGTTATGTTTTTAAAGTAACTATTCTGGTTACAAATGAGGAAAAAGCCAAATGTACTAGAAAAGTTAAAAGTTGTTAGGGGAGAGCCTTTGTTTAATATTATGAAGAGTTTAGGTGGCTATGACCTTTCTCCGTTGTCAGCAAGTATTTTTAATCTGTACTTGTTTTCCAAAATCCTAAAATAAAAGGTATAAACATATTTCTTCCATGATGGAAAAAATTAACACAACTTAATTCTCCAGGAAATTACATTTTTAAGGAAATATTACTCTAGATTATAAAAATATTATTAATTCACCTAAAGATGCTACATGCAAAAATATTTATAGAACTCTGACTCATTAATATTTAGCAGATTGAAAAGCTTTCATTTGTCACTGTATATTATAAAGACTTCAAAGTACAATTATTACTCCATAAGTCAAAATCTTTAGTTGAATACCCAGAGCAAGAAATCAAAATTCAATTCCCTGCAATAGTATTTAATATAAGAATTAATAATAAAGTATATAAAAGAATTTCAAATATTTCCTGCCCCAAAATAAAACCACTCCTATTCTGACAGATATTTTATCAATATTGTTTGTATTTCTATTTTTCTGCAAGTATGCTGTCCCTTACATTATCAGTCATATGTTGTATACAATACTCTATTATATTTGTAACTGCCCCCTTTTTCCTCATACCAGGAAAACAGGAACATTTTGCATTCACACAAATCTGTGATTTCTTGCCTGAACTGAGGTGGGAAATATTTGAGTGCACTGTTTCAAAGGCTAACTGACTAAGGTCCACTTAGCCTTCAGTTACCAAACGACTTAGCTAAGTATCTTATGGCTACTTTCAGAGTAATTAACTCCCATTTTCTATCAACTCTTACAAAATGAAGATCTTTATCTGCTAGAAACTTATATTTTGCAAAACATTAAGCCCTTTCTAGGTGTCCAAGGCCAAGCCTACTGAAAGCAGTGAATATCTGGAAAGGAAACCTTGACTGCCAGGCCTCTATTCTGATGAACACAACAGAATTTCCCTGATAATGGATTCAAAATGCCAAGCGTACATTGCTCTTCTCCCCATACAGAGCTCCCAAAGGCATGGCCTTGGCACACAGCAATCTCTCTTCAGGAGCATCCCATTATTCTGTCTCGCTTCTCAAGGGAGAGAAGAAAAATACAATTTGTAATGGCACAAAAGAAGCATCTTGCATTTGCTGTTAATTCTTCAAAAAGTCCATGACTCTTCTACCTGTGTATTGTTTATGACACAGGATATAGAACCACTGAGGAGCTCTGAATTTAATTTTCTTCTAAAAACTTCAACCAATAAAATGATCCATTATTGCTGCCTGTTGTGTTTGAGTTAAGTTTGTACTAAGCTTCAACATATCCTATTGATTTATTCAGGGTCCAAGACCTCACTGCGCATTGAGGGCTCTATGTAGCTCCTCAATGCTATGCATAAGGTCAACCAGTTTTCTACTTTTAACAGCTTGACTGAGAGAGAAATCACTGACATATAAAAAGCATATATATTAAAATGTAAGACTGGATGTTCTGACACATGTATAAATTGTGAAACAAGGACCACCTTCAAGCAAATTAACCTATCCCTTACTCTGCATAGCTACCACTGTGTGAAATCTGTCCTCCTAGAAAATTACAGATATTACAGATATACAACATTAACTGTCCTCACCATGCTGTGCATTAGATCTCCAGAAATTTCTGATTTTGCACAATAAACTTTATATCCTCAATTACTGCCTTCTAATGAAACGATTATGGTTAGAGAAGAGAGAACAAAATTTTTTATGGTTCACTTTATATAATAACCTAGATAAGTCTTTCATTTTATATATATATATATATATATATATATATATATATATATATATATTACGACTATGAGAGGGTCTAGTCACCAAAATTTACTTTTGATCAACAATGCTCAATGTTAAACAAAATAACTGGCCACAGTATTTACTATACTATTTCCATTTAACTAATAAGGTCACTA